ATATAATGATCCACAACCTTCTTTAATTTATTTAAATTAGGTAACCTATATCTTCCACTATCCACCTTCTTCATTAACTTCTTTCTAATCATTCTTTTCTTGAATTTCTTTTGAAGTTCATCAGAGAAAGCATCATAGAAATGGCGTGCAACTTCTTCATCATTTGAATCAATATAATCATGTCTTGTTAAATATTGATGAATTTTATCGAAATTAATTCTAAATGTTTGATATTCAGCTTTATTTGTAACACCACCAGTCCTAGCAGTTCTTTCTGACAAAGTTCTTAAATGATCAATTGAATATCTTGGTTGCTCCGTGGTAGTTTGATACCTTTCAATTAATTGTTCCTTAACTTTCTTCCAACTCCATTCACCAGTACCCCAACCATCCATTTCACGTATTTCCTCCTTCAATTCTTCTCTAACAACAAAGCTAGTAACTTGTCTAACCATATCAAGTTCTGAGGCGCCATTTGCTTCAGCTTGACTATGATAATTAATGATAAACTTCTTAACATTCCTTCCAACTTCAAATCTAATACTTGAATCAGTATTATCAATTCTACGTGGTTTAATATGACTTCTAGCCTCCTCATTCCTTTCTTCACTACTAACATCTCCATTACTAGTTGAATCATCATCTGAAGAACTTGAAGAACTTGAATAATCTCCTCCATCATCTTCTTTAATAATTTTCTTAATAACCTTCTTGCCTTTACTCTTTTTCACGACTTTTACCACTTCTTTTTCCTTCTCCTTCTTCTCTCTTTCTTCCTTAATTCTATTATTAGTAATAATGTCTGCCACTTCTTTTTCTCTTTGTAAATAATATTGTTGTTGATTATAGAATTGTTGTTGCCAATCCACGTCTTCCTCATGATCAGAGGGTAATAATGGTTCCTGTTCCCTGAATCCAGTAAAGGCTGAAGGTGGAATTGGATCCTCAGAAGCAGGTGGTTCTTCACGTTGTTTTCCATGAATAGTTGATCCAGAGGAAGGTCCTGGAGGTGGTGGTGGTGGTAATATGTTAATAGAAGTAGAAACATCTGGAACATAAACTCTGCTTCCAGAAATTCGTGGAGTTCTTTTATAATGAGATGTTGGTGGTAATTCTAATTCCTCATCTCCATCATCCGCCACATCTTGATTATGCATTTGAATAACTGAAGACATAGCTTCTTTATATAATAAATTCTTTAAATAAGAACTAATTTTGATATATTTTTAAATGAGAATGAAAGATAATGTTTATGATTGATTTGAATAATTTTAATTTTAAAGATCTTCTGTTGATAACCACGTGAATAATTTTTATTGAATCTTGATGTAATATAATATAATTTGCTTGTTGATAATGATTAAAAGAGAGATTGATTTAATTATAAGTTGATTTTAATTTGTCAAGCCCGGGCAGAGTCACCAATATGTAGAACTTATAACCCAACAAGGGTTATACAGAGCTGGAAGAGGATAATCTACTAATAAAATGACTAGTAGAAGTTGTCTAAGGACTGCTCTTCTAAAACAACACAATCAGAAAGAGCTCTGTTGTATTGAGTACTGATAAGGCACCAGAGAAATATAACTTCACACGTAATTTTAACTTCAAAAGCACACTTTGTATTACTATCAACACTGCTATAGTGTTATTCCCAATTGATAACTGAAAAAAAATAAGCAATATCTGATTGATATTATTCCCAATAAGTCTTTATGACTATAAAACTAAAGTAAATTTCTCTTTATAACTGTAATAAAGGGCGTATTTAAGTGAACAGGTACTATTAAAATAAGTTTATGATGATAAACAAAATAATAATGGCGTAAATGATAAAGAAAAAAAAGGGGAACAACAGTCCCAAAACCCTCTCAAAGTATATATAACAATGTACTAGAACTTTTACAATGGTCAACAGCCTCAAAACCAATCAAATCCGCCCAAAATTCCCTAAAAACCCTATGATGACGCAATGTAATGGTTTTGTTACTAATAAATGATGTAATTTTCACAGCTAAAAGTGATCAATGACGCAATAATATGATGTACAGCACTTCTTATGATGAATACAGGTGATTTTCTCCTTGTAAACTAGCTGAAAACCAATTTTTGAGATTACGAATTTTTTCAGATGTGCTCCAATTTTTGATTACTAAAGTGCATCTTGTAGCCCACGTGTTACTGATCATTTCTGACACCTACATGACCTACTTCTGATGAGTGATGAGTAAGATATTGAGTTGTGAAGTTAAGGTTTTTAGTGTTACATATGACTTGTGACTGTAAATTCGAGATTCACACCAATTCTTTATTTGCCTTATAACTTTTTACACACACCTCCGTTACTAATGATTTAAAGTTTGTACATTATGTAGCCCACTCTTCTGCGTTGAATGAGCCACCTACCAACCTATTCTGACGTCATTTGACATATGTAATTAGCTGAAAACCTCCATTTTCCACGAATTTCACCCATTTTCTTCACTTTTCACAGCTACTACTATCTTTTTCTTGCTCATGTAATATGACATCATCATCTATAGCCTTAAAAATCCCGGAAAATCCTCTTGGCAACCTTAATTCCATCACTACCACTATTACACAACCAAACTACACGTGTACCTCTTGTTTACCAACTTCGAAAAAGTGCTTTTTTCCTAATAACTTCTGTTTCTACTTATCAACCTTGAAGATTAAAATTGTAATAGTATCATATAATGTTGTTCTTTCATATTCTAACCTCATAATACCCATAACTCTAATATTACTACCCTAAAAACCATTTTCCAACCTGTATACCTCTAATTTCGAATTTTTCTTATGTTTTTCTTTCTTTCTTTTTGTAATAAATTTGTAAGTAAACTATAATGATCTTAATATATAATGTGAAATAAAATGATGTAATGTTGACCTAATGACCAATACATAAGCCTACAAGAGCTTCAATTGATCAAAAACCTCCATTTCGAATTTTCTTTCCTGCTGAATCCTGCTAATAAACTGGTAAACTGGTAATTGTGAATTTTTTAATTGATCCCATAAATTGATCACCACACCGGGCATCTTTGACAGCAAAAATGATTGCAAAGCTTGTTGGGGTTCGTGAATGGTTGAAGAGTGGCATCTCACTCTCTGGCATATATGCCGATGCCTGGGCATACGTGAAGGCTTATGAAACTCAGCAAAAGAAGGCTAAGAAGTAGCTTTAGGGCTCTACTATCGAAATCGTTTTTGTTTTCTTTTTTGTTCTCAAATTCTCACCCAAGTCTGTCTTTACTTATGTCTTCTTTCTCACCTTCAAACTCTGCCTCTACATAATTGTATAAGGCTCAAACATGCTCGTTTATCTTGAAAAAAATTGTTCTTTTCTTTTCGGATATCCTCACCCTTCCCCACTCTGCTCGGTGAGACCTTTGATACACTGCTAGGTCCATTTTGTAATCAAAACCGATTTAAAACGGCCTTTGACTGCGCAAATATCCCCTTGTCTGCGCTTTTTTGCGATATGACCTCTGAGATTTCCCTATAGCGGAGCGGAGCGGTCCGCAATAGCCGCCCCGCTCTGGATGGTCATAGCGACCCCACCTTTATAGCGTAGCAATTAGTTGTTTTGTCTTAGCGCAAAACCGCTCCGCTCGTAAAAACAGCGATTATAGCGGAGCGAAGCGGAGCGGTGGTGGTGTTGTGTGCAGTGATAGATCTTTTGATGACAAACTACAATAATCATCTTTTTCCCAGTTGCACTTGGGGATAGTGTATAATGTGTACAGTATTCTGAACTTTTCTTGGCAGCTTTGAGAGCCCCACAATCCCCCATCCCTGTTGCCTCACTTCAATCTTTGCACAAACACATCTTAGCCCGGCAGCTATATGCTGTTGTCTCACTTCTCACTCTTCTAAATTCATCTCACCTTGCTCTTGATCCGTCACATCAAGGAACATAGCCTCATCAAACTGGAGTCAAAGTTGAACAATCAATCAAAACTGATCGATTGATCAAAACTGAACAATTGTTCAAGATTGAAGCATTGATCAAAATTGAGCAATTGACTGAAATTGAAAAGTTTGTCAAAATTCAACACTGAACTACTCTACCTTCCCATCTCATCTTTTAAGAATGATGTGTTGTTGTATCTTTGCCTGTTCACCTTGATATCCATAATTGTATTCAAGTATGGCTTACAATGTTTTTAAAATAGCAAAGAGCCAATGGCTATCATTTTGTGATTGTAACACCAATGTCTTGTTGAAATGGAACCAGCTCACTTTTCTTGGTACATCAGAAAAAAATACTCCTTTTGAGAATCAAAATCATTTTTGAAGTTTTCATTTGTTATTCACAAAAGATAAAAACTTTGTACACACAAAGAATGGGATTTTAATTCAGTTTTAGATACATATTTGAGAATGAGCACTCAAGGGTGGTACAGGTAAACAGTGTGATGATTGGCAAGACATAGGCAAAAAATGGCAGGAAAAGTACAAGTGAAGATTGACCAGTAAGTGTTGAGCATGATGGTGTAGTGTTGAAGGTATTGACCAAGTCAGTGCAAAGTGATGGGGGATTTGAGCAGGATCTCACCAATTATGAACATACAGGTGCCCAGATTTTTCTGGAGCCCAGATGAACCCAGATGCCCAGAAACATCCTGGATATGTCCCAGAAGTTTCTGGATGTCACTTCTTGACACTTCTGGAACACAAAACACAAGCGTTGTATAACCCTAATCATGTATTTGGAATGAAAATGAGCAAAACATGTGTATACATTTCTTTTAAGGGTGCCTTGAGACTTGAGTACCAATTTCCCTTTGTTCACAGTTGAAACAATCAAAAGATATCTATATAACCTACCCCTAGCCCAAGATTAGGGTAAAGGAGACAATCCCAGATTCAATGGTCAAGTGCTGTATATGTGTACCCCTCTATTTGTGAAAAATTTGACATACCACTCACACCTGAGTGGGTATACCCACGGATTATGCTGTATTGAAAATACCTCAATCCAATTCTATCTTTACAATCTTTTTATCTATCCCACAGATGACTGCACCAATTTTTCCACTTGCATTGGTCCTCAAATCCTCAACATACCTGGTAACATGCCAAAGATTGTTACCACATGCACCTGATGTCTTCTCCACTTTCATTTTGTAAAGGAAGAGGTCAGAAATTGTGATATGATTTAGAAATATCATTCAAGTTGGCTTCTGACATACATTTGGGGGGTTTGCTAGCTACCAGTTCAAGATTCTGAAATTTCCCTTGCATTACATGTGTATCAAATTCTGGTAGTTTAGTTTGTAACAGGTGAAAGGAACCCATGATCAATGTCTGTAGCTTTGTGGGCATTGGACATGAAGAGGAGAGTTGAGTTGAGGGTATTTAGAATTGACCACACACCTGACATTCCAATTCTCTCACCCTTGTACATTATCAAAGGCAAAGGATGATCACAAAAAAAGAGATCATTGTATGGCAATCTTTCTGGGGGATCCTTGGTCAAGTGGTTTATAAATTCTTCACTAGCATTGAGGACATTCAATTCTTTTTGAAAATCCTAAAGGTCAGCATTTGATGTATGGTGGTCAGGTCTTGAACTTGTACATCAAAACTCACCTTGTTTATCATTCACTTCAGATGTACTTTCTATATCAGCATTGTCAATGGTACAGGGTTGTGAATATTTTGTCAGCAACATGAGGTTGATAAAAAATGAGTAGAAAGAATACAGAGGTTGGATTTGTACAGAAGAACTCACTTGAAATTAGTGATCCTGAGGTGATGGGTAGTGCACCCAGGAGTGCAATGAACACAAGTTTTTTAAGCATATTATGTGGAACACAAAACTGGTTGATCAAAATGATTGATGTCAAACTTTCAGGGCAAAGCTTGATTAATTCACAAGAACAGGAAAACAAACTCCTCTGATCAACCAAGATGGGCTCTGTTATATTTCTGGTCTTGCTCATATCTACACAGACACCATATTCAATGGGCCATGGATCTTGTATGGTAGGCATTGCAAGTTGAGAATCATATATACAAAGACTGCAACTAGCTCCATCTTCAAGCTATATCAAACTAGTGTTGCCAAGAGTAGACTGCAATTGATGGTGAAACAGTGTTCTCTGCATGCTGCAGTAAGAAAACTATATTGCACAGGCCATAGATCTTAAAAGGTCTGCAGATAAATCTGTAGAACTGCCATACATATCTCGCAACTAGCTTTACCTTGAAGGAATATCAAATCAATGTTTCCATAAGTAGACTCCAATTGATAGCATATCAATGTTTCCATAACTAGACTCCAATTGATAGCATATCAATGTTTCCATAACTAGACTCCAATTGATAGCATATCAATGTTCACATAACGAATCTCCAATTGATAGCAAAAAAATCTCCACATGCCTCATTCATCTGAGACAGATCCCTTTAGATTTCTCAGGGCAGGATCTGATTTTATTTGGGTTACACACATCAGATGGCCTGCAATACACAAGGGGCAATGCAATGGATTGAGTCAAGGTTCAACCTTGATGCAGCCTCAAAGGAGCCTCCTTCCTCTTATTGAAATCATCCATACTCCATAAAAACATAGAAAGTCTACAAGCATTGCACAGAACTTGAAGTTGCAGCACAGACCATTCAACTCTCCCTATGTGCTTTCATCAGTAGGGCTTTTAGAGGGATAATCATCTAGGGAACACCTCTCTGTAAGTTCATAATGATATCACCATACAAAGCCCATCTCTTTGTAGATATATGAGACTTTGAGATTTGCAAAAGAAATCAAAATTTAGGACCGATCTCTCAACCCTGCCAAAGCCCTTGTACCAAGCCAGCTGGAATGCTATAAGATTAAATGTTTTTGAGTCTCTTTTTTACCACTTTCCTGAATCAAATTCTAGAAGTCAAGTGCACCAACATATTTATAAGGAGCAGGAACACAGGAATTTTGATGGTCCTGGAGGATATTTATTTTTGAACATGATGATAGTTCACCGTCACCAGTAGAGTGACTGAGTAGATAGTTGCAAGTCAAACCTTGTATGTACAGATATGGATGAATACAATGAAGGAGAAGGATAAATAGAATGTGGATGATCAAATAAAAATATGGAATGGGGAAGGAAGATTGGGACTTTTCTCCTACTGGTACCTTGTCAGCCTGAAACTCTAAGTCATGGCAGATGACTGGTAGTTCAGAGCTGAATGGTACTTACAAAATGTATTCTATCAAGTTTTAGACAACAATTATTGAAACTTGTGGGAGATTATTTTTCAATTTGTTGTAAGAAGTCAAAAGGAACTATAGTTGTTATGTATAGTTGTTGTAGGTGTGGGATGTGTACTGCTGCCAGAAGCTTATCAGAGTACAGTTACTTGATAGCCTTCCAAGGTGAATACAAATGGATTTGTAGTTATTCCTTAGGTGACGCTTTAGTGTTAGTTTGATGAATGTATCATCACAAGTAAAACAAGATACTATCTACAACATCAATTCAATAGTAAGGAAGCCATTAATTGATAAAGAGATAGTGACTCAAAGGAAAAAGGGCATCCATGAGATTAAAGAAGATGCAATAAAGGATTCCAAGTAAATGATAAGAATTATAAATGAGTCTTATTTCAAATGAAAGATAAAGGAAAAGGGATTTTGATATGAAATACCAATTCAAGGATGAGCTGTGGTAAAAGTGGTATGGGATATTATTAAGATTGCTTTCTTCTTTTTGGATGCATGGAATCCTCATTTATATATTTGAGTGAGTCATTTGTTCCGAGCCAGACTGTGAGGGTTTTCCTGGATGCTGTCATCAGGGTCTGGTATGCTGAAACCAGTAACAGATGCTCCCTGTGTTGGATCACTGTCACTCCTTGACAATGGGGTCTTAGCTCCTTTGAGCTATGTTTCTGCTGACCAGTGGATCCTTGTACACCAAATCTGTTGTTCTGACAATGGGAGTATTGAGAATACTCCTCATGGCTGACATACCTAGCATTCACCTTTTCTCAACTTATGCAGTTCCCTGTGTTTCCTTATCTGAGCTTTTACCAATGATATGTTGTAAAACTTCTGTTCCTCACCATCAGATCTCTTCCCGTTCAAAGAGGTCAGCTATTAGATTATTTCCCTTCACTTTTACCTTTATTAACCTTTTTTTAGGCTCAAGATTCTTTATTCCACTCTCACAATCATTCCTGAAGAAGCTCTGTCTTGAGCTTTTGTAATTAGACATGTGATAAAAAATATCATCTGAATGTTTACCATCTGTTGTCAAAGTTCTTTTCCTCAGAGTCACAATCAGGTCTCCTGCCGTTCATGTTGTCTTTATTCCATTGTCACAACTATTCTTGAGCAAGCTCTGACTTGAAGTTGAGCTTTCATCAAAGGTGTGAGTATTTTTGAAAGTATACTCTCAAATTTTTTTCGGAACAAGCTCTGACTTCAGCTTTCACCATAGTTTCACATTTATCTGTAGGAGAATAAGGTGTAGTTACAAAATTTCCTTACAAAAGTTGCAAATTTGCCTTTCTCCTGGGCCAGATACTGTGGATGATCAACTCATGATGAACTGTATGTTGTTTCAATGGGTTTGAACATGTTCCGATCAGTCTTTGGCGTTTCCAAAGGACATGGGCTCTGACATAGGTAAACTGCAAGAATTTGTGAAATTGTACGTCACTTTTCAACTTCAGCAATGATGTGAAATTTACCCCTTGACTATGGCACTGATGATGTCTCACTTGACGAAACGATACCTTCATTCGAGAAAAAAGAAAACAAACTACGTATCCAATGATTAAGAAATGAAACTGTTGAATATAAATTTGGAAATGACCAAGATAACTTCATTCTTTGGGATTTCTCATTCTTTACACTTAATCATTTTCATTGAAACAAATGGGGACAAAAGGACTTTCAAAAAGAGTCAAACCCGATCAATATACTACTAGCAAAAAGGTCCCGGGAAACCTCATAAAACACCGGTGGTATACAATTTACGATGTTGTATGTTGTACCAAATAGTGCAGGTAAATTGCAGATCCAAAATGAAGAATGATAATTATCCACTCGCTTATCTTGCCCGTTGATCGTTTTTCCATAAATCAATAATAGTAACCGTCTTCAGGCGGGTATCCACCATTGCGCCAATATTCCTCCTCGTCATCCTCGTCATCCTCATAGTCATCCTCGTCATCCTCATAGTCATCCTCATAGTCATCCTCGTAGTCATCCTCGTAGTCATCCTCATAGTCATCCTCGTAATCATCCTCGTAATCATCCTCGTAGTCATCCTCGTAGTCATCCTCATCCTCATCCTCATCGTCTTCTGGTTGACCACAATCCCTAGCGAAATGTCCAACACCTTCACATTTGAAACATCTAGGTTTTCCACCTTCAAAATTAGCCACAAATTTCTTGACCGGCTTGAACTGAGCGCCATATAAAAGGTGTTTCCGTTGTAATAACACCTCAAAATCATCCGAGTTACTTAGGAAAATCACGATTGAAGAGTTAACTTTTCCGCCATGTAAACTCTTGGCATTGATCCATTTGATTGATTGCAATGATTTTAATAATCCGAAATTTTCGTCTTGAAAGAATTGGATTTCTTCTTTCGAGCATAAGTTCATAGTAGTCGGTATGCCGTGGACGACGATCCCATATTGAGTTGATGTTGAATCAAGTTGAGGTTTACAAGTATCAAATCGTGCTTTCTTTGCTCGAAGTTCTTCCGCTTTAGCATCAGAATAGACGTTTCTAATTCATGGATCCTTTTGGCTTGTGAATTTAATGCGACATTCATGGTTTCTATATTCTTTAATCGGGTGTGTGCAATCTCTTTCCAATAATCGTTACATTTCTTTAACGCTTCGATTTCTTCTAACGTTGCTTTTTCCTTGTCGGCAAAGGTTGCGAGTATCAATTGATTGGACTCTTTGGTTTTCTATCATTTTTCCCGTCATCCAGAAAAATCGGTCAGTCAATCAAAGGAAAATTCAACCTTCTTATATAAATTTACAGAGACGCTCACCTTAACTTCTCGAGTTGAAACAATAACTTTTGCATTCCGTCCGTCCTCCGAACTAGATTCAACCGAAGATCCATCATCCGAAATGGATTCCACGTAAACTATTTCTGGCATTTCGGCGTGAATTTCCCTAATGCAAACAATTCGAATCGATTGGTGTAAACTGTGATCTAACGAAAATAAAAACTGTCAGCCGCTAGAAGTAGCCATGAGGATGAGAAAAAGAGGAGATACCCGAGAGATCGGCCGCCCTTTGTTCTGATCAGCCTAAAAAGATCGGATCAATCTGTTCGTCATACGAGATAAATAAGAATGTTAGCATTTATTTCAATCTATAAATTCGGAATCGGTGGGAATCGCATCAAAGAGTGATGGAAATAAGAAAATAGTGAAAGTTGTAAAAGGTGAGGGGATAAGTCAATTGGTTTGATAGTCTTCAAATTGACCCTCAGCAAGTGCCCATCAGATATTCTATCTTTGACAGTAGCTTCAATCGACATGCTTGCGCCAAATATCTCAAAGACATCCTTAAGCCAAGCATGGCTAGCGAAGAGACCAATCGTCTATCCAGATCAAACTCGATACAATCCACTTGTCTGGTCAACAAGAGATTCAGTCGGCTGTTAGGGAGACGATGATTTGATCTCTATCGCCACTCATGGCATTCTAGCCCATGAGGTTTTCTCAAGGCCCTGTGGCTCCTGGTCAAGAGTACTCCTGCTCAATCATGAGTTTTACACTTCGGGGTTATGAACAAAAGTGTGAAGTCAATCAAAAGACTTTCAAAATCATGGGAATGTTTCTGCAACCATTCGACCATTTCTAATTTGAAAGCCCTCAGAGTTGAGACCTTTAGAATCAGAAATCGAATATCAAGGGAGTGGGCCACCTGATATTCTCTGTCACGATTCTTCGAACCCAACAGAAGTTTGGAGTACAAAGCCATTTGATGAAGTCAAGAGAGTATTCTGCTTGACCATTCATGCATGTCTTTGTAACCAACACTTCTTAATAGGTAGGTCCAACTCATCTTAATAGCTCAAGAGCCATCTGAGTACTAATTCCTAATTAATGCCACGAAGTTTCAAAAGATTGGTATAAAAAACTGATGAAACTTCACCGAGTAAAAAGGTACAAGACTTAAACAGAGCCTTTCACAAAGGTTGTTGCTTTGAAACACCAATTGTTCAGAACAGGGTCTACTGAGCTAAACCAATCTGATCCGCATTCGAGAACGAACGACTTGCTAGCGCAAGGGCTGGCTAAAAACCCGAGGGCTAAAGAGCACACAATCCCGAGCAGCCTACGTACAAAAGGTCAGACAGATTCAGATTTAACAAACTTACAATTGTAGGGTAGATGGCGAAGAAGTTGGAAAGCAGATGTCAAAGGTGCGGTGGTTGGTCGTAACGGCCGATGATGGACGATTGATATAAAGGCGGTTGAAGGTTGAATGCAGCTTGGAAGATAGGCAGAGATCCGACGGATACTTATAGAAATCCTGAAACCTAATCATGTCCCTTTTGGTCCAGTTTTGATCCTTGAAGGTGTCTAGGGTTTTGGAACCAAAGGGTCCTTCTGAGAAATCAAATGAAAAGGGATCTAGATTGAGTGATTCCCTTACATAAATGACACGGGATTTTCTATTGGTTAAATGAACTCCACTTTGAGTTGAAAAAAATCAAAGCCTTGTGGAAGAAAGGGGCTTATTAATTGTCACACACACGTATCACCCACTGAACAATCTATCTTCATCTAGGCCTTGAGATTTGGCATGGTTCTACTTTTGGTTGTTCTTCTCAAGACATTTTCTACAATTTAAGTCAGTGGAGAAGGTCTAGAGTGTTTTGTCTAGTTATTCTTTTGGAATGACATTACATAATTATGCAATTAGGGTACTCAAAGTAAGTAT